AACAACCACAGACCTCGGGGGCCACCTCGCTCGCCTTGCACCTTTTTTTGCTGCACCCATCCCACATCCCAATGCAGACCTCTCAGGGCTTGTGTGCTTGGTGCTGAGGGTCGGCGAGTTGTTGCCCTTGGGGACTGCAGGGTTGTAGGGTTGGGCCTAACTAGCTGGGTTGTGTTCAAATTGTTTTTAACTATGTCAGCAGTGCTGTCAAGGAAATTGCCTGGTTGCTCCTTCGGGCTGAACAATGTACGGATCCGACTTCATAATCCTGTGTTCTGGGTTTGGGAAGACCAAGCGCTGTCTGATTACGTTCCAGAAGACTGCCGAGGACACCCAGCTGGCATTCTAAGGTTTCTAAACCAGAAATCGCACTCAGAGTGTCTCGATGGCATGGCTTGAGGCTTAAGCTGCCGATAGACCCAGACCCCAACTCCTCAAAGCGAAGAGCCCCAGCTCCAGCTCCGAAGCATCAAGGTTGACAAAAGCACGTTCTTTTACCCCCCCAAGCCTTTTCCAACCCCCAAACCTTATGCCCATCCGAGACCCTCAGACCTTAATTTTGAAACCCACGCCTGAAGTAGACCTGGAGCCATGGAAGCCCTACATGGCAAACCCATCACTCTGTAGCGAAGTTCTGTTCTGTTCTGATAAGGCCTCCCCAATACCCCTTAGAAACCCTAGACGCCCTCAACGCGAGTGCCATGCTGAAGAAGTTGGCGCGTGGGGTTCCCAAGCTGGGCCCTGCGCTCCGGCGGGGCCTCCGCCGACAGCTCGCCTCAGCAGAGGCGAGGCTTTAGGGTTTAGGCGTTAGTAGCCTACTGGGGTTACAAGCACATGCCCCTTCGCATCTCGCGCTCTTATTCACAGGCCATTTAGCTTTCGCGCGCCGCTCACCACTGGCAAAGCGACTAAATCAATCACCTGCCCACGACGAGCAAGCACGCACCCAGACCCTGTTTATCCTTAGTTTCACGCCTGTTGTCCCGACGTTCGCTCTCTCAATCCCTTCGTTCCTGGGTCTTCATACTGTATGTTTCCACGGCTTGTTGTTTCCTTCTAGTTCTTTGGCTCTACTATTTTCCCATCCTCTTTGTTGCCTTCGCTGCTGAACAGACCATTTCCTAGAGGCAGTGGTTGACAGGGTATCTTCTTCTAGTTCTGAAGCTTTCAGGATAAGCACGAATGTCTTGTGCAGCCTACAGACTAATTTTTGTGCCGCTCGCAGAATTGGGGAACCGCCACCATCAGTTGCCTCTTCTCACACTCCTATACCGGCTCAAGCACTCGAAGCCGGATCAAACCTGTGCACCGCTCGAAGTTTCCCTTTCCGCGCCCATCTTCAGTGTTCATCGCTTGTGCTCCTCAGGAGTCGCCGAGTTCAGAACGAGCACGAAAGAACATCTGAGTGTCATACCAGAACCGTCAGCTGGCAGTTGCAAGGATGTGCAGATCTTGTTCTGACAACCCTGGTGTAGCTTTTGCAACAGTGAGTCGACGTACATGTGAATGGCGCAGCGATACAGTGAGTTCGTTCCTTCGACGTTCGCTCCACCCACGGCTCTGCTAGAGGCTCCAGAAGATCTTGGGGGGCAATCTCCATCCCGGCCTTCGGCACCGCGCGACGACTTGCTGCAACAATGGATATCTCCGGGAGCGACATTGTATGTGAGCCTTGGCTGCCCTAAGGCCCGACATGCCAAGGGCTCAGAGCACCAATCAGGCTGACAAGGCATGAGTCAAGTTTAAGTGGGAACAATTCGAACTAGCACTACTAAGGAATCCTATCTGTTCACAGATGGACCAGATGCTTCTGAAGTGCGAGGAGCGCAAGAGCTGTCATTCGTTAGACGCCCCAGAGCGCGGTGGCCTAAGAGTGGGTGAAACACCCTGACAAACCGTAAGCCAGACACTAGGGATGTGCAAAAAGCACTTGAACCTCTCTTGAGCCGCAGGAGATCGAATCTGTGCTGGCCCTTTTGGTGACGCATCGTGGCGTTTTCTTCGTCCACAACCTGGTCACCGCGATCCAGGTGGGTGTCAGAATTCGAAGTGGGATTCCGTCGAATTGGCGAGCAAGGGTTGGGGTTCAGTCACGGCTCCAGCGTGCCAAGTTGTGTGCGTTTTGTGCTCCAGTTCGCTGTGTTGTGTGCTGTCCAGAGGTCTTTGCATCTCTTGAGCTGTCTTGTGTCGTGCAGTCATGGGCAACCGGGTCTCTGCTCCTGTTTCTCTTTTTGAGTGATCCTGCGAAGTTGGCGGCTGTTGTAGCATGTGCTGCCAGCACAGAATGGCACCGCTTTCGGCATGGAGCACGGCTTGTTCCTGCCCAAGAAAAAGGTCCACAAACCCGGCGGCACGTCCTGGACAAAAAAACTCAAGGTGACCTTTATCATTCTTGTTGTGTAACATGTGGGAAATGCGTTGCTTTAGTTATTTGTGGGGTTCCACCTGACAGCACAAAAGTGCGAATGTGGGGCACTTTGCAGGCCTATTTTGGTCGAACAAAATGGCGGCGGGTGCAGCATGTTTGAAAGTTTTGCCAAGGACTGGCACGGAGAAACCCGGAATTCATTCCCAAGCACACCAGCAGCATGTGTCGCCATAGACAGTGACTTATGCAGCAGCACTACCTGGTTGTCAGGTGCTTGCTTCGTTGGCTGAGGACACCAAGGACCGCAGCTAATTGTGAGCTAGATGATATGGCAGAAGAAAATGGACGTACTTCATTCAGCAGTACTTCAGGTGTGCATACTTCTCCCTTGCGGAATGATTGTGTGGCCAAGCTTTGTTCGGTGTTGGCCGTCGTCCCGAGAACGCCGGCTTTCGCAGCATCCAGTAGATTCAGTAGATTCACCCACGACACCCCGAGCCCAAAGCCCGACTCCAAAGTACTGGCATAGCGAATCGAGCCGCGAGGTTCAAAAGCCTTAACCCCTCCATGACTCAGAGACCTTGCTGGCCGTGTGCTAGAGCGAGCGTCGACACCCCAAAGTCGCAGACCCTGCTTGGCGATGTTCGACATGAGGACCCCATGGAAGTGAACCGTCTTCTACGAGATCCGAGGCCAGGGTATGCAACAGGCCGCATGCTTGTGCTGGGTGGACTCCGTATCTTTCCCTGGTTTAAGAAGCTCAAGTCACGGCCGTCAAAGGTCATAAGGTAGTCTACTAAACAGTGCATAGGACAATGTAGTGTCAAGTCCAAAGCCTCGGCCTTCCGAACTTGCACTTTCAAGATCTCACGCTCTCATTCTCATCTGGCTGCGCAACCATGCATCAGACCCCATTGGTCAAGAACACACTTCAACACACTCAAAGTCTTTCGTGCAGCTGATGATCCCGGTGCTCGCTTGGCGGGCTGCATTGGTTGAGGGACCTGCAGATGATCGCTTGGCGGGTTGCCGTTTTTAAGATGACAGAGGTCCCTCATGACAGCTTCCCTTGCGGAGGGCCCTGTCCGCTAATTCCCATGACTAAACCTAACCCTGCACCATCCTCCATTTTACATTGCAGTTCTCAGAGCACCACCGCAACCCTGCAGATACGACGTCCTGTTGCGCGACCTTTTTCACTTCGTGCCGAAGCTCGACTTCCTGGCAATGACGAATGTGGCCTGCAGTCTTCAACAGTTGGACCACAAGTGCCCCCCTCCCCCCTCCCCACCCCACCCAACCACAACCCCATGCGGCCCTTGATCCTTGGACTAGGTGTTGCAGTCCTGTCCCATTCGCCAGTGCAGCTTCATGCTATTGCAGGTAGGTGGGAGGGGTGTACATTTCACACAGAAGCGCTCGTTGCACATAGCCGTGAGTGCAAGCCAGTTCTACAGAGGATGGAAGTGGTTTTGTCCACTAGCTGCGTTCAGCACGTAAGTCTTTTGCATGTGCTCATGTGGCCGACAGCGCCTCACGGGCAATGGTCTCCGTTTGTGTCCACCGCTTTTCTTCATGCGAAGCAATTACCTACTCATCAATGGATGCCCAGCTCGGCTTCAAAACGTGCAGGATGTCCCGGAAGTGTAGCAGGCACAGGCGCACTCTGCCTGCTGAAGTCCAGGGCAGCACTAAGGGGTCGAAGGACGCTGCAAAGGGACTGCCTTGGTAAACAGCCCCTGGCAATCGTGGCTGCAGATACAGCAGAGTCAGAGGCTGGTCGTGGACGGCGGCTCCTGGCGGCTGAAGACCTGCCAAGTGGTACAGAGATCCTGGCGGAGGATCCTGTCATCCAAGTGTCAGGAGAAATGGGGATGGATGCAGTGGCTCGGGAGCTGCTAGATCTGGATCCAGTCATGCAGGAAAGCTTGCTGGAGCTTTGCCAATCCTCCCCGCTTCCTGCAGATGAGCTGGCCAGCATCGAAGACATTTCTGGCGATGACGATCGGCTGCTGGCATTGTTGCGAGTTTTCCTGATAAACAGCCTCTTAGTTGTGTTGAAGGTAGAACGCTTGGGTTCTTTATTCCCCAAACAGTGTGCCAACGCTAGCTAAGGGCTTCCAACGTAAAGAGTAAAACGGGCTAGGTACATGTATGCACCCGGCACGCACGGTCCGCGCGCTGCGGACCATGGGCCTGCTCAAATTTTGGACCAAAATGGCGCTCTCGTTTGCGCGCGGTTGCGGTCCTGGGCTCACGAAATGCGGCACTGTTGTCTTTTTGGACTTCAGGGCGTGCGGCTTGCGAAACTGCTGTCACTTTTGGACTTCTGGGCTCACATGGGAATTGCACTGTTTGGGGTCTTGGCAGAGTTGGAGCTCTTCTGCTGACACACGCACGACACAACGGGTTACAAAGAACCAAGGCATTGGGACCCCTCAAGGGGGCAGCGCAATCTACCTGAGGGCAAGCCGGGCGAACCACAGCTGCCAGCCGAATGCGGCTTTCCAGGTGTCGAAAACTGGGCATCTGCGTCTTGTCACGCTGAGACCTGTGGAGTGCAAGGATGAGATCCTGGTCTCCTACCTGCCAGAAGGAGCCCTTCTAAGGCCCGGTGCCAAGTCCATGTGCTCGGGTGGAATCTATGATGCTAAGTTCTAGCAGCTTCTAGCATTGCCCATTCTGCAGCACACCTTCAAAGTGCCAGCCCTGTTTCTCTGGCTTGCAGATTGCCAGGGTTAGGAGGATCTGCTGGTGTCAAAAGCTTTTGGTTATGCATTAGGGTCGATGTCGCCGCGTGGCCCGCGTCTGCTGCAGACCATGGTTCGCACGCATTTTGGACGAAGATCGCGCTCTCGCCTGGGCGCGGGCGTGGTCGCGTTTTTATTTTGCAAAGAAAGCGCATGCAAAGCTGCCGTCGCTTTTGGATTTCGGGGCTTGCAACATGCGAAATTGTCGTCGCTTTTTGGATTCCTGGGCACGCATGATCTCTCACTGCTCGGGGTCCACGCTGGCATGATAATTAGTTTCCGCGTTACCGGGCGTCCCCCGAGGGCGATCCGGGGTCGCAGCAGGGTTGAGGATCTTTTTCTGGCTAGAAGGCTTGAGGAATTGTGATCTGCAAACCATACCTGGACCGGGGGGTCCGAGTTGCGAGAGGGCTAAGTCAGGCACCCATAGAGTCCGTAGAGGCCACAAAGTGTGCGGCGGCGCCTCCTGGAAAGATGGGGCTTTGACTGTGGCTGCGGCCGCTGTCAGACGCCAGATGATGTTCGAATCCTTGTCTCCACTGGTCGCGTTTCAATTCAAGTCTAGGGCGGCATGTAACTGCTGTGCATTAACTTGTGTTTCTGCCATTGCAGGCGAAACGGGGCATTGAGTGTTGCAATGTTTTGCGCACATGGATTTGGATTGGAGAATTGTTGCACTAGTCAATCAGGACGGTGTTCACCCAGTATAGACCACTTCGATAAGCATTCCAATCCAAGAGCATGCCAAAACCTCTCAAAGAACGCGACCAAAAAGCGTGCCAAGATGAGCCTTAAGAGCACTCCAGGCCTCGCCTAGTCGAGAGGCGTGCGGAAACACCGAGAGGGTGATCATTCGCGATTGAAATGCGCATGGCATGCAAAACCTGCGTTACAATAGTATTTGGCATGACAAAAAGTCGGGGCACGACGCCGGAGACAGAGGGAACTTTGTGCCCTGTCCCCCCATTTTTTACTGAATGCCGTGCGTGGACAATGTATGCTAGGGACCCGTGACAGGACAAGCGCGGGTCGGGTGGAGGCACGAAGAGAGAGAGTACTCAATTCACCCCCAAAAAACAACCCTCCCCCCCCCCCCCCCCTCACCCCCCCCCCCCCCCCCCCATCCCCCCCCCCCCTCCCCCCCCCCTTCCCCCAAATGCAAAACATAGTTCCAACAAAAACAAAACTTTCGGTCAAAACTTTCGGTCAAAACGTTTCGTTCAAAACGTTTCGTTCAAAACGTTATTGGGACCCAAACCCTATACAATTTCTATAAACCCTAAGCCCTCAGCCCTAAACCCTAAACCCGAAACCCGAAACCCGAAACCCTAAACCCTAAACCCTAACCTGAACTCTTGGTCTTCCCAGGACCTCATGGGCTCAAACGGCTCCAGTGGTGGCGGTTCATATCCGCAGCCGCGAGCCCGGCGAGGCCTGGGTGATCTTAGGGTTTAGGGTTTAGGGTTTAGGGTTTAGGGTTTAGGGTTTAGGGTTTAGGGTTTAGGGTTTAGGGTTTAGGGAGGGTCCTGCTTTCAGGGGTCCAGCAGTAGCACCACAAGAACAAGCTGTGGCTTCTGGGCCTCAAGCAGCTGAGATGGGATCTGGAGCTTGGTTCACAGCGAAGCTGAACGCCACAGACCCCAACTCTTCAACGCAACTGCTCTAATGCTTCATTCCAGACTCTGGGCCCTGCAACCTCCTATACAAAGCGCCTGAAGTGGGTGTAAAGCCTTTAGGGTCACTTCAGGCGCGCCGAAAGCCGCCCTGCAATCCAAGCTTAGTCGCGATTGCCATGCTGAAAGGACAACGACGACTGGCCGACGGACGAGACGCCTCCGCAGGCCTGCATATGCAGCTTGTTAAGATGCTGGCTCTCGGATGGAGGGGTTGCGAGTTGCAAGCTTTCTAGACCCTACCCACCACCTAAACCCCCAAAACCTGGCAATGACCTAAGAACCTGTCAGTGACTGAAAACGAGCCTGGCCTACACTCTCCCCCACACCCAGTTGCCCCCAGCTCAGGACTTGCTGGCCAGCTTGACAAAGTGTATCGAGCAGGCCCCAGAGCTTGCTGCCTCCACTGAGTTGCTGGGGCTCTTTTCTCATGCTATTCGGCGCTGGATCTTCGCAAAAATGCTTGCTGACAAGGGTGTTGCCGAAGCACAAGTTCACCAGGCGGTGCAGCTGGAGTTCGGGGACGTGAAGGGCTGGGATGTGTACTTGGCCGCGACAACGCAGAAGGCTCTGCGCCCAGCTCTTTCTCCAGATTGATGTGGAGGTTTACGAAATAAGAGATAGACCCCCAAACACTAGGATCCCCGCATAATAAGGACCCCAATAAAGCACGCCCATAATTTCGGAAACCCCCCATGTTTTTGTTCTGGCTGAGTGGCCTGTGGCAGGTACGGTTCTGTCCTTCAGCTCAGGTCTGATAATTGGGCGTTAGCCTTTTCTGCTGCATGGTCTGGTCAGCGGGCGCGAAGTTTTGATAAGTTGCAGGAAACCAAATTTGGTGTTTAGGCGCTCAGCATGATGAGTCACTGAGTCGAGCTCTGTCCTGGAAGAGTGGCTGAAAAAAACCATGAAATACGACGAACCTGGAACCCCTAAAACCCCTAAAACCCCTAAAACCCACCCCTAAAACCCCTAAACCCCTAAACCCCTAAAACCCCTAAAACCACCCGGAGCTTCGGGGACAAGGCTCGTTCAGGGCACCATGCGGTTCGGTGCGGAATCGAATTGTCGTAGGGGGATCTGATTCGAATCTTCCCCCTCCACCCGTGTATACCCGCCTGCCTACCCTTGTGTCATCAAAGTGGGCGAAATGGCTTGCGGAGAGCTTCCCAGCAAACCGGGAAGAGGCCCACAAAGTGGCAGCTGACCATTTGAAGAGCTCTCCCAACCTGAGAAGGAGACGTGGCTTTCGACCGCTCGGGGATGTTGGGCTTTCTTTCGGCTGACTGACGTTAGAATTTTGGGGGCTTCAGGTCTTTCGAGTCATCATAAGCCATTTACCTTACTGAAGTCACAGAAGGTGAGGTTTTAGACAGTTCGACATGATGCTAACCTGTTTCCAGCTGCCAATAAAGAGAGCGGCAGGCGTCGGCATGATTTCGTAGGGAAGAATGGGTTTGTCAACAGGTTCTTGTGAGCCCGGTTCGGGGCCCTGGTGTGATGGCACCCAAAAGCTCCTGAGGCCCATCCTTGAAGCCCGGAGCCCTAACTTGAACGCTGCTCGACCGGTCTTTCTAAACCCTAAGCCCTCAACCCTAGACCCTAAACCCTAAACCCTAAACCCTAAACCCTAAACCCTAAACCCTAAACCCTAAACCCTAAACCCTCAACCCTTCCTGTGAGGCAGGTCTGGGTGGCCATAGCCACTTGGGTTCCTCTGGTGGTTGTGGGTTGAGGGGGCTCGCTCCGGAACCGAGTTCCGGAACAGGGAACTGAACTTTACGACAGACAGATGAAAGCAGCTTAGCTCATATGAAGTAGGTTTATATTACTGTCTTGGTGAGTGTATATAAGGTTCCCTTCTAATATTGGTGAGTGTATACATTGGGTGTCCTTTTGGGGGTACAAGAAACATAAACCCTGCTTCATATGAGGCCAAGAGCAACACCACCCCTAAAAGTTTCCGCGTCCGGCCGGAAGCTCTCAATCCAAATCCCTTCAGTGGCAGGATCCTCTCTCTCCCAAAGATCGAGCATAACCGCCGAACGGGCGCGGGCTCGGTGGATGCCATGGCGGAGGCAGGGATTAGGGTTTAGGGTTTAGGGTTTAGGGTTTACGGTGTAGGGTTTGGGGTTGAGATTCTACGTGCTCATACCAAGAGTCCGAAAACTCCAGGGCCTGACACGTGATTCTGTTATTTGTGCGATTGCCGACAATCGTTAGATTCTTGTTGCCGGACCTGAGGGGATTGCTGTAGCAAGTGGCATAGGGCGGTTGAGAACCCCGAGCTGGGTAGGGTACTGCTCACGAAGCTGATTCGGGCAAGTCTGCAAACCTTGCGAGGGGCTCCTAAAATTTTCAGGGGTGAGCTAGGGCTTTGTAGGGCAGTGGGATGAAGGGTCACCGTCCCTTCTTGAACTGCCCTTGAGATGACTCCCTGCTGGCCCCTGACATTCCAGGCGTTGCTCATATCTCGTGCTGACATCTTCATCAGATTCGTGGCCACGCTCCGAGTAATCTTACAAGTAAGTGGTTCAGCACAGAGTGTAACATGTGTCGAAGCCGGGAAACCTTAGAATCTTATGCACTCTGCTACTCACTCGACACCTCCCAAATTGGACTCAGACAAGAAAATGCTAGCTCAGCGCGTGAACCTGAAGCCGAAGCCTGAGGCGTTAAGCTCAGGGCTTGACTAGCGCACGAAACCATGATCTTAACTTTGGCACACATCTCCGAAGCTGTCATCATTAGAGCTTCCCTCAACATGGAAACCTAAAACATCTCCTTGAAGTTCCTGAGCGACCCCGCGCCCGCAGACCCAGCACGCCCGACATGATGCTCTAAATCTAAAGAATGCCAAAGCGAGGTTGGCACCACGGGATTCAGCGATTGGCCCAGACTTGTCCGGAGATACCTGGGAGATGGGGCCATAGGAACTTAGGCTTGGAGTTTTCGACATGTGTAGCAGCGCATGCCACGTGTGTAGCGGCGGGTACGTTCCGTATGTCACAATGTATGTTTTTTTGGGTAAATGCCTTGTGCTGCTACCGCTTGTCATGCGGGATGGGCGTCTTTCTGCAATCGCTCTGAGCGCTGGCTCACAACCCCGCAGTTCAAAGCTTCAAAACCCCAAACTTAAAAAGGCTTTTGATCCAAGCCAAGCAGCTGGCTTAACAGGGGTCGGAACAATTACCAATCGTATTCCCTTAGGGTCCCTTCATAATTATACTAGTATAATCACCCCCGAAACCCTATTCTAATTATTAAGGCCCTTATAGTACGCACTTGCTTGTGTCAGGCACCTTTGCCTTCATGGCAAACGCGCTACGGCCAGGACCTAAGCTCGAAGATGGGACTTCGAAATGCTCTGAGATGCTTTGGGTTTTCTTTTGTGTTTGCGTGTCCTGTCGTAGCCACTGTCTCGGCAAACTCAGGATGCAGGACAGTCAGCAAGCAGCATGGGCAGAAACTCTAGTTCTTGCAAGGGTGGACGACCAGTGTTCTCTTGGCGCCCCAAACTTGATTTCAGAACTGAAACATACTCGGCAAACTTGCAACGCCGCCAACAAGTCGCTTCGGTTCAGCATGCTGTCGTCACCACAAGCTTCTCGAAGTCATGCTTTAGACCAACGAGGTTCCAGAGCGACTGGGCGGCAGCGCTGCCGCCCCTGCGCCGTCAGGGTGTCTGCGGCTGAGACGGGCTTGCGTTGTTGCGTTTACGGATTTTCAAGTCACGTCTCAGCTTGGAAACTTCAAGGCTTAGGCAAGCTTCCTGAGGCTTGAGGGTTGGGCGTTTATGGTGGTCACTCATGTCGACATGCCATTGAATTCATGTGTCTGGATATTTGGAGGCAAGTGATCGTCTGCTGCGCACGGTGAGGGGCATGCATGGGGTCATGTGACTGGGCCTAGGCGCACGAAGTTCACTTCCTAGTCTACTGTTAAAGCCTCAATTCCAAGCCGCGTGAGTCATTTTGACTCTGAGTCCCGAAAGCTTGCTTTCTCAGCTTACTGAAGGAATCTTTGGTTTAGATGTTTATGGTTTTAGTCCTTTGCAACCCCACCTGCCAAGTACGCGCCGAACTACGTGGTGACAGCCGAGTGCGGTCCAGAGCATCGTGCTTGTCTCAGCTTGCAGTCACCGATCGCTCAAGGATGCTGAAATTTTCTGAGCTGCACGGTGCTTGGCTGGAGAGCTACTTGAAAAAAAACGCTACACCTTCAAGTTCGACGTGCACAATGATCGCATGGTGTACCGCTCGGCTGAAGACGCGTGTGTTGTTTCAGGGCTGCTCTGTTTAAGGCTTTGTGAATAAACTCATATGTATGCATGTGTGTGTGTATATATGTATGTACGTGTGTACGTACGTATGTATGTGTGTGCATATCCACATGCATACAATGATAATAATATATATATATATATATATATATATGCTACCCCCCCCCCAGCGACCTACCCTTTTTAGGCCTTTTTAGGCCTTTTTAACAAAAAAACAAAGAAGGCCCAAAAGTCGCGTAGTTAATCACCGGGTAATGAAGGACAGTTACTGGGACACCCACCTCACAGACCCCGATAAGCCAGCATTGGAAGAATCTACATTTTGAATCTGAAGCGGACAATGCTGTTTTTAGATGTTTAGATCAGTGTTTTTCTATGCAAATTGTGCGTTTCAAGGGCAATTAATGTTTTGTTGAGCAACTAATTTATTTATACAATTGTGTTTGTACGAGGCAAAGTATTAATTAAATAGTGAAACATTTTTCTTGGTTCTATGCGAATTTAGCTACTAGAGTAATTATTAAGCAAAGAGCCCAATTTGACTCAAGTGAATACCATTTAAAGGACCATACTCAACCAAGATACGAAATAAACACCATTCTCAACCAAAACATGGCAAAGTGTGCGTTTAAAGTGCAAATACTGTATTTATACAATTGTGTTTGTACTAGGCAAAGCATGCTCTCTGAAAAGTCCACTGAAATACCTTATGTTTACATATTCATGAATCGTTTTTCTTTTTGAAATAATCATTTTATGCGAATTTAGCTACTAGAGTAACTATTAAGCAAAGAGCCCAATTTGACTCAAGTGAATACCATTTAAAGGACCATACTCAACCAAAATACGAAAGAAGCACCATATTCAACCAAAATATGGCAAAGTGTGGTTTAAAGGGCAAATAGTGCTTTGTTGAGCAACTAATGCATTGAAACAGTTGTGTTTATACGAGGCAAAGTATTATTGAAGTACTATCTGCAAAGTCAAATGAAACACCTTATGTTTACATATTCATGAAACAATTTTTTTGAAGTATTCATTCTATGCGAATTTAACTACTAGAGGAATTCTTAAGCAAATAGCCCAATTTGACTCAAGTGAATACTATTTAAAGGACCATACTCAACCAAATACGAAATAAACACTTGCGGAAATGGAAACGGTTCTACCTACATAACAATGAGACAAAGATTGCTGAAGTATTCACTAAAGACCACTTATATACTATGTCTGAAAAGCACAATTTGCATGAGCAAGCTTAAAAATGCACAATAATGGAAATAGAAGCGGTTCTACTTACATAACGATGAAACAAAGATGTCTGAAGTATTCAATAAAGACCACATATATACTATGCTTGAAAAACACAACTTGCACAATCAGGCTTAAAAAATGCACAAGAATCCTAGAAAAGTACTCAGTGAAGGCCATACACAAGCAAATTCACAAATACATAAAAACATCCAAAAGCGCAAGCTTTTCAGGAGAATCTCTGGTAAAGTTTGGATTATAGGGTTTTGGGGTATTCCTGGACGAGTAGGAGTCACTTTTTAAGCAAACAATTCTAAGCAATAATGCTTTTTCTCAAGACAAGTATTGCAAATGCTGCTTCTAGATAATTAATCGCATTTACCAGGCAAATATTATCCATGCGAATTGAGCTACCAGAGCACCAAGTAATGGCTGAATAAGGTCTACTACACTTGAGTACAACCAAAAGATGCACTAAACACTAGCGGCTCTACTTACATAATAACGAAACAAATAGTTCTGAAGCACTAGAAAGACCACTCGTATACTATTTCTGAAAAGCACAATTAGCATAAGCACACTTAAAAAAACGTAGTTGTTGCCTCGTGACCGTGAAGGCGAACCAAAAAGCCAAAATACCAAAACCAAAAAACCAAAAACACCAAAACCAAAAAAAACAAAACCAAAAATACCAAAAATACCAAAAAAACCAATTTTCCGGGACTCTTGGAGAAGCCTCATAGGAATTTCCTGAGAGTCCCGGAAAATTGTTTTTTTTGGTATTTTTGTTTTTTTTGGTTTTGGTTTTTTTTGGTTTTTTTGGTTTTGGTTTTTTTGTCTTTTTTGGTTTTGGTTTTTTGGTTTTGGTGTTTTTGGTTTTTCTACTGTCCCGTGTATGCGATTTTAGTTGTATTTTAGTCTACGCCCTAGGAAATACGCTATATTGCACACCGAGTTTGCTTGCAGTGCAGCTGGGTGACTTGAGACAAGGCGAAAAAGGGTAGGTCACTGGGGGGGGGGGGTACCATATATATATATATACATACATACATACACACATATATATATATATACATGTATGTATGTATGTATGTATGTATGTATGTATGTATGTATGTATGTATGTATGTATGTGTGTATGTGTGTATGTATGTATGTATGTATGTATCTGTGTATTCACGGTCATTGATTTAGTCACTTGTGTGTGTGGTATTGTTTGTTTGCTTGCTTGCTGGCTGGCTGGCTTGCTGGTTTTTTGATACTATGCATGTGTGGCATGTATGCATGCATGCATGCATGCATGGACGGAGGGAGGGATGGATGGAGGCAGGCATGCATGTATGCACGTACGTGCACATACGTGCGCATGTCGGATGGTGCATGCATGTATGCTTCGAAGGCAAGTGTGGTCAACCCGCCAACCTCTTCTCAAGACCGAGGTCTCGAAGGCGGTATGCTCTCGAGCCGTGTTTTCTGATCAGCAAGCTTGCCATTGCGGAGTTCACGGCAATGCTTGCGGTTCCAGCAGGTGTGGCCTGTGGCATAGTTGTCCTGTCTGTCCATGCCACTTTGGCGGACTGGGACTTGGATGGCTTGTCAAAGGCCTTGAGCTGGATTGAAAAAGGGTTTAAGAAGCCGGATGTGCAGGAGCAGCGCATGGAAGATGCCCTGCGGAAGATGATGGTGCAACACCTCCAGCAAGCTATACGTTGTGTGGCGCACTTCCTGGGCGCTCTGGTGCTGTTTCTCTTGTACCGCATGCAGCAGCAGCCGGACTCTGTCACCGTGGCCCAGTTTGTGGCGGTCTTGGCGCATTATCTCTGCTGCTGGTGGGTGGCAAGATCGCAGTTTACCTTCAACATGCTTCGACTGATGACGTTGGTGTCGCATGCAGGTCACACATTCTTCATCGTCAACACACACTTTTCAGAGGAAGCGGACTACCACTTGCTCTCGGTTGTCTCGGCGGCCTTTCACGTGTGTGGGGCGGCTGTCATTCACGACCCGTCTCTTATGATCCCATGTCAAACTTGGGTTTGTGCGGTGGAAGTTGCATGCTATTTCGGACTGGAGGGGAGACGCCGCGGTCCTCCGGGGCATTTTCTTTGTGGTCAGGCTGTCATCCTGGCCTTGGGATGCGTGGTCTCAATCATGGTCCAGAACTGGTCCCGAGCTTGCATCAAAGCTTCATTCCAGTCGGCGGACGCTAATCTGTCTTTGGAAGGCTTCCAGCGGGTCTTGCGAAGCGTCTGCGATGCAGACGTGCTTCTCGATGATAGTTTCCATATCGTCGGGGACAACACTCGCTTGAGACGCGTCCTGGCAACGCCCACCGATCTTCAAGGCGTGAAGTTTACCGACCTGCTCGAGCAGGAGGGAAAGACGCAGTTCGAAGACTTCGTCCGGAAGTCATGCAATGCAAGCCAAAACCCGGAAGAGAGGAGGGAACTGGAGACTGAGAAAAGTTGCAGCATTCCGCCGTGTCTGCGTGTCTCACTGCCAAGCGCGTACTCGCGGGTTGGCGTGGACATTTTCCATGTTCTTGTGCCGCGCTTTCTGGATGCTGCAGGACCCCTTCACCTTCTGGCGTTTACGGAAGATCCAGATACGAGACTGCAGCCGGAAGCTACACTGGGAGCGATTCCGGAAGCGCTCTCCATGTACTCCGAAGACGACCAGGATCGCCGGTCCACGGTTGCAGAGTCTGAGGCCGCCTACTCAAAACAGAGTCTGAGCAGTTCGATGCTGTGCAGGGTACATCCCGTTCCCGAACTGCGTGAGCTTACGATGCTCGTGGATGCAAGTACGGACCAGCAGGATGTGCTGCAAGTACACGCGAAGTTCAAGCGTGACAAGAACCTGCCCAATGACATTCACTCGTGCATGCCATGCTTACAGACCATGCTCAGACCATCGGATTGGCTCAGCATCCGTATGCGCGTGGCGAAGTTTGCGCACGAGCAGTGCCAGGCTGGTTCTCCAGACACACATGACCTGCCGTCCGTGATGCTTCGCAGGTTGGACGACCAGAACAAGTTCCTGGCGGCCAATACGGTCAACCTCGCCCCCTGTCGCGGCCAGGAGCCATCGAAGAAGTCTTCATTGGTTTGGGTCTACGTCCGAGATTTCGTGAATGACGAGGCCAAGTTCCGAATGCAGCCGGGTAATGTCTTAGGCTGAGGAGGAGCTCTCCTGCCGTTGGCCTACCACTGTTAGGCGCATCCTGAAGGGTATTTCGAGCAGTCAGTATATCTTCTTAGATTCTATAGGGTGAAGAGTTCCATGCTGGGGCATCATTGGTTGTAAGGATCGCCTCAGTGTCCTTGCTTGAGTTGGCATGACGGACCACTTGTCTGCGTCCTTTGCCACGTTTTTCTTCTTTGAGGCAACAGCCCTCGGCGCTCCGAAGCCCGTAGCTTCACTCAAACTCGCAGCGAAACATCGATGGTTCTAGCACGCAAAGTCTCAGCTCCATACTCAGACTCCAGAGCCTTCCCAAGACCTATATCCTCCTGGGAATTATGTTTTTTTCATTTTGTTTGTCTAAAACCCAAGAGGATATTAAAAAAAAAAAAAACGCTGTGTTTGTTAAGTTTCTAAGGGGAGTATAGAGACATCCACAAGCTCATCCCCGAGGTTGCTTCGAGGCCCCGCCAGAGGCCAGTCGCACCGGGCGATGGGAGGTTTTTGTGGGCCCTTGTTTCAAGCTGCCTGCTGCGTTTTAGTAAGTGTAGTCTTCAGGCGAAGCTGCGAAATGAGAAGGGAAGAATGAAGCTGCAGGTTGCATCAGGTAAGAAATCCACCAGGTCGCAGTTGGTGGCAGGCCTTGCAGTGCCAAGATCCTAAACGAGAATGAAGGTTCGAATGGCTGATGTCTCCTGGCACGGAAAGTACGTCACCGGAAGATCGCCTCATCCTCAGTTGCACCCCAGCTGGTGGTCACGTGCGCCCCAAGTGACGTCACCAGCCCCGCATGCTTGGCAAGTGCAGCCCAGAGTCTGCAGCCGACAGCAACGTGCTGCCACTGGCCACATTTGCGCGAAGGGCGGCGAGGATGTCGAGAGTCTAGGTCTAGGCTAATGGCGGGCATCCTGCTCGCAGACGCTGGCAACGACCCACAGCGAATCGACAAGCCGTCCAAGCGAGCAGTGCTTGTGGCACGATTACACCTCTAGAGCCCTGCAGGATCCTGTTCTTGAATTGCGCAACCGGCCAAGCTCAACGCCGGAGAACTCTGCCTGACTTTTGGGCCAAGTGGATTTTAGCGTATGTGAGTGAATCTCTGCAGACAACAAGTGGAGGAAGAACGCAGCGCCAAACCCAGGTGCGGCGACGTCGTCGCACGGTTGAAGCAGAAAGTCGGCTGCGCAGCGCTGAAGCCAGCGAGGTCCAGCGACGAAGAGGAGGCGGCGGGTTAGAGGCAGTATAGGTGCAGCTGGTGTTGGTTTCTGCAAGAAGGCGAAGTTTCGAGTTGCCATCTGCAGCTAGAATCCCCATGTGCGCGGCAAGCGCGTGAGATTCGATAGCCATGGACATTTGACTAGAATTTGCCCGCGTCATCCCCCCTAAACCCTAAACCCTAAACCCTAAACCCTAAACCCTTATAAACCCTAAACCCTAAACCCGCGCCACTGCCAGGAGCTGTAGCCTTGAGAGCGGGTGGCTCGGCGGTAGCTCTGTTCTGGCCGTAGAATTTCGCCTGCCCTTCCGTGCATGAAGGGTTTAGGGTTTAGGGTTTAGGGACAAGCTAACGAAGGGGCTATTAAGCCTTATCATCCCCACAATCAACCCTATAAAGGGCCCTTTTGGGGCGGTGAAAGGGTATTACAACCCATCCTCGTACTTTGTCTAGAGTCTTGTAGTGATATCGAACTTTGCTTGAACTGACCCGGCGGCGGAGTGGTTTGTGCGAACATCGCTTTCTTTGATCTTGCTGCGCGAGAGAACGAAAATCTTGAGAAGAGTCCCCAGAAGCGCTCCGACGCATCCGAGAGGCTTCCATTCAAAAGACACCCCTCCAAAGAAGTGATCCCGAGACTTCCTCTGAGACCTTCATTTTCCAAGTGCGGCTCAA